TGCTGAGGATTTTGATGGTGATGGTGATAATGAGGCTCATGATGCTGCTGATGATGACGATGCTGCTGCTGATGATGATGATGATGCTGATACTGCTGATGCTGATGCTGATGATGATGATGATGCGGATGATGATGATGCTGATGATGATGATGATGATGATGACGATGGTGGTGATGGTGGTGATGCTGCTGATGATGATGATGCGGCTGCGAGGATGATGCTGCTGCTGATGATGATGCTGATGATACGGCTGCTGATGATGCTGATGATGATGGTGCTGATGATGATACTGCTGCTGATGCTGCGGACGATGATTACGACGACGACGATGTTGCAGATGATAAGTTTTCAGATGATCATGATGGTGATGTTGATGCTAGGTGGGATGGTTATGATGATGCTGATGATGATGAGCGATGATGATGATGCTGATGGTGCTGATGCTGATGATGCTGATGATGATGCTGATGCTAATGATGCTGATGATGATATGGATGTTGTTGATGATGATGCTGATGCTGATGACGATGATGAGGATGCGGATGCTGCTGCTGATGAAGATGCTGCTGCTGATGATGATGATGATGCTGATGATGCTGATGATGCTGACGATGATGATGATGATGATGATGATGATGATGATGATGATGATGATGATGATGCTGATGATGATGATGATGATGATGATGATGATGATGATGATGATGATGATGCTGATGCTGATGATGAGGATGAGGATGAGGACTAGGATGAGGCGGAGGCGGAGGAGGAGGAGGAGGACATGGAGGAGGATAATGATTAGGACGAGGAGGAGGACGAGACGGAGGAGGAGGCTGAGTAAGAGGAGGAGAGGAAGAAGCGGGGGGGAGGAGTAGGAGAGGATAGGAGGAGGAGGAGGAGGACGGAGGCGGAGGCGGACAGGGGGGGACCGAGGATAGAGTCGGAGGAGGAGGGCGGAGGAGTCGGGAGGATGAGGCGAGAGGAGGAGGAGGTTGAGGAGGCGGAGGCGGAGGGGGAGGATGAGGGAGGAGGAGGACCAGGAGGAGAGGAGGAGATGAGGAGGAGGATGAGGAGGGGAGGTGAGGTGAGGAGAGGGGGAGGCGGAGGGAGGCGGAGGAGGAGGTGATGACGAGAGGGGAGAGGAGGAGGAGGATGGGGATTGAGGAGGAGACGGAAGATGCGGGGGAGGAGAAGGAGGAGCAAGCCGGGGGGGGGGGCGGAGGCGCAGGCGGCGGAGGAGGAGGATATTGCGGAGATTGTGATGATGCGCACCAAGGTGCGGCTCGTGCCAACTAATAAAACATTCGGCACTGTCTAAGGAGGCGGTTACGGATGAGGAGTCGGAGGAGGAGGATGAGGAGGAGGATGGAGAAGGACGGAGGAGGACTTGGAGGATGAAGAGGAGGAGGAGGCCGAGGAGGAGGAGGATGATGATGGGGGAGAATGCGTGTCGTGGTAAAACGGAGGGCGGGGGGGACGGCGGAGGATGCGGATGCGGATGAGGCTATTGCTATTGATGATGATCATGATGATGCTGATGAGGATGGTGATGATGCTGCTGCTGATGATGCTGATAATGATGGTGATGATTCTGCTGATGGTGATGATGATCATGGTGATGATGCTAATGAGGATGCTGATTCTGATGAGGCTGATGCTAAGATTGATGATGCTAATGATGCTGGTGATGACGACGATGCTGCAGATGATGCACACGGCAATGCCGATGTTGATACTGTTGATGAGGATGATGATGCTGATGGCGATGATGATGACGGTGATGACGACGATCCTGATGCTAAGGATGATGATAGTGATGGTGATGATGATGATGGTGATTCGGTTGACGCCGATGATGATTAGACTGCTGCTGCTGATGGTGATGCTGATGATGCCGATGACGATGCTGATGATGATGATGCTGCTGCTGATGCTGATGATGCTGCTGATGATGATGGTGGTGATGATGATGCTGCTGATGTTGATGGTGTCGATTCTGAGGATGCTGATGATGATGCTGATGATGATGCTGATGATGATGCTGATGATGCTGATGATGCTGCTGCTGCTGCTGATGCAGCTGCTGATGATGATGTTCATGACGATGTTGATGCTGCTGCTGATGACGATGCTGATGATGCTGATGCTGATGCTGACGACGATGATGTCGATGATGATGCTGACGATGACGCTGCTGATGTTGATGCTGATGCTGATGCTGATGATTATGATTCTGACGATGATGATGCTGATGCTGCTGCTGCTGATGATGCCGATGCTGACGATGATGATGATGCTGATGCTGATTATGATGATGATGGTGTTGGCGATGCTGATGATGATGATGATGCTGCTGGTGATGATGATGATGCTGATGCTGGTGGTGGTGATGCTGCTGATGATGGTGATGCTGATGCTTATGGTGCCGATGCTGCTGATGCTGATGATGGTGATGATGCTGGTGCTACTGATGGCGATGATGCTGATGCTGATGATGATGATGA